GGAAGCAGCTCACAAGCAAATAAGCGGACAAACAAATCACCATTTCAGCCGCGTGGGTTTGCTCCCGGCAGCTACCACCAGGAGGGAGAGCCAGGCAGTGTGGACGGTGCTGATCTCCACCCAACCACCAGCAGGGTAGTGTGACTCATCCGTACATACGGGCCCCAGTGCCTCTTTGAGCCAACAGTGCTGACAAAATGCAAGAACTACTGAAGCTGAACCAGCGCACCGATCCCAGACACAAAAGACGCACGGCCGTGGCAGACAGAAGGCTAAAGTGCCTACACACCAGAGCTAAGGAATGAAGTTACCCTCATGCACAACAAGCTCTGCTTTGCACAAGACCTCCCCTCCTGTGTTTTTGGCAATGCAAGTGTAGACGCCACCATCTTCTGGGGCAGCGTTGTCCAGGATCAAAGAGTACGTCATGCCTTCTTTCTCTTGATGGAGCCTGTCACTGTTGGTCAACAAGGAATTATCCTGGAAGAAAAAAATAGGAAGACACTACGTCAGCATTAAAGTGCCAGGGCCAAAGGGGTACTGGTACGCTGGAAGAATTAGATCAGTCATACTCAGACCTCAGTGATTCAGGAGACATATATATAAACACACACAAATAATATAAAATAAAAAAAAATATATATTAATCAATGTGATTGTTAATAACTTATATTGATTCATAATCAAATCACACAGGGCATGTGTACACTAGGAAATTATTACAATCACACAGGGCATGTGTACACTAGAAAATTATTATGAAATAACTAAATTCAAAATAATAACTCCTGAAATAACTAGTTTGGAATAAGCATACCCCCAGGAAAGCAGAAGTACGGATTTTGAAATAAACAGCCCGTTAATTTCGAAATCACGGGCTTGGTAGTGTGGACACTCTGCTTATTACTTCAAAATAATGGGGGTTATTTTGAAATAACTGCCTAGTGGAGACCAGTGCACAGTGTTTTATATCATGTGCTGCAAACAGCCATAGTAAAGAGCTACTTTTTGCTCATAAGCCTCAGTCTGAGTACAGCTGATATGTATAGAAAACCAATAGCTAAAATGAAGATCTGCTGCGTGCTTAGACTGAAGATCTGTGGTGTGCTTAGACTATAGAAGTGTTTATTTTCCACAGGAAATTTTTCTATGCCCTGGTACTTATGTTCTGTTTTCAACAGAAACGGGGCCTGAGTAAACCCTGCTCAGGTAAAATAAGAATTAACTCAAAGCTGTGTCTAAAAGTCTAAATCTGAAGACTTTAAAAAAAATCCTGATTTTTTGGTTTTAGTCAAGACCAGAAGCAGAAATATCCTAAAATGCCACTGGAGTGCTCATTATTTTCCATTCACTCTCAAACAATGATGGGAATCTCATAGTATAGATAGAAGCTCTCTCTTCTGGCACCCTTGGGACCTGACAGGTGCCAAACCAGAGAATTTGCTAAACCACGGGAGGTCAATATTTTCTAGCAGCATTGCCAGCACTTCCACTGCTGACTGGGTTCTGAGAAGACATTTGGGGGTAAATTAGAGCTAAATAACAGCACAGAACACTGAGAGCCAGGACTGGGGGCTGTAAACAAACTTTATGGGACCTTAGGAAACTTGGCCCCACCCTTGATAAGTGGACATCCGGCTCACTAATATCATGCCGGACCATGGAGGTTGCCAGACCAGAGAGTGCCAGACTAGAGAGGTCAGACTTCTCATATGAGATTTCCAGCTCAATGTCAAGACCCAAGCAGTCTGGATAAGCAGCGGTGCAGTGCTTGGTGTAGGGGAGTCGGAATGAAAACTGTGCTGAGGCTGATTCTTTTGCTACATTGGGTCAGCCTTTGAATCTCCCTGCCTCTGTTTTCCCATCTATAAAATGGGGATTCTTTTGATTGGATATTCATTTATATAGGCAAAGGTCCTGAGATTCCCCAGAGGAAGAGTGCAACAGACATGGAAATGATCTGGCTTAGGTGAAAGTCTTCTGTCAGCCAGGCAGTGCTGGCTGCATCTCCATGACAATGGGGAGATGTTCCCCTTTTTGTGCTGCTGGCTCATTCTGAATTAACGACATTTACAAGCCCACTTCTTGCTGGCAGGAGAAACCCTCCCCAATGGTCAGGTTATTGCATATTTGTCCACCACTGACTCTTGCACCTTCCTCCGAAGCAGCTGTACTTGATTAGATGGAACCTTACCCAAGTTCCTAGATTTGTGTTGTTTTCCGATGGACTTAACAATCAGATATTTTAACTTTTGTGTGTCACTTCTTTGCTTGTAAATGAGACCAGCCATTCGCAGCCCATCGGGACATACAAGAGGCAATTGGAGCCCATTACGGCTGAGAAAAAATAAATCCCCCACGGCCAATGGTTTTCTAACTTCTCTGTTGTTTGTCAGTTTCTCAGCAGCCCGTTGCTTTATTTGACACCCCTCCTTTATGGGAAACACTTTCTACTTACCTTATACCATGTGACTGACGGCTCGGGATTCCCTTCGATTATAGCATGGAATTTGGCACGCTCCCCAGCCTGGACTTGCACATCCTCAATGGTCACGTGCATATACGGAGGGCCTGGAGAGACAAATGGGTGTGCCTCGCTTAAAAGAGAGCCCAGGTGTGTCACAACCACGCTGGTGCTAAATGAACGGGGACTGCGGTTGTGAGCTGGTCACCTTCTGAGGCTACCTGTGCTGGTGGCGCTAGCCCCAGACTTGGGTTTGTGGGTGGGAGAACTAAGTGATCTGGAGAGATCCCCATAAGTTTCTCTTCCAGGTGGGGGAGGGGGAATTGTTTGGCCAAATTACAATCCAGGCTAAGCCTGCGGACCTACAGTGTCTCATCTGTACAAACCTGCCCCTTCACCTGCTGCGAGTCCACACCATTAGGCCACCCATGTCCCATTTCTGGTGGGACTCCACACCCTTTCCAATGCTTCTCACACTCTCAGTCTCACCTTGGGCATCATTACACCTGCACATTATCCACCCCTGGGAATTCTGGTAGGTCTGGAAAATACTGATCGGGGATTCCTTATAGAATGGCGGGAGAGAGTCCAACCTCCACTCCCTTGACGGGCCTGGATGATCAGTTGCCATCACAGAGGCACAGGCTATCCAGTAAGTTTCTGGACTGCATTGGAGACAACTTTCTGTTTCAGAAGGTTGAAAAAGCTACCAGAGGAGAAGCTGTTCTGGATTTGGTTTTAACAAATAGGGAGGAACTAGTTGAGAACTTGAAAGTGGAAGACAGTATAGGGGACAGTGATCACGAAATAATAGAGTTCATGATCTTAAGGAAAGGTAGAAGGGAGACCAGCACAATTGAGGTAATGGATTTCAGGAAGGCAGATTTTGATAAGCTCAGAGAACTTGTAGGTAAGGTCCCATGGGAAGCAAGACTGAAGGAAAAAACAACTGAGGAGAGTTGGAAGTATTTCAAAGGGACGTTGTTAAGGGCCCAAAAGCAAACAATTCCGCTGTGTAGGAAAGATAGGTAGGTGTGAGAACGATGGCAAAAAACGTCTCGTTAGTTGTGTCTTGAATTATCCTATTTGATTGGCTTTCCCTGCTCTGCATGCATCAAACTAACCTCCAACCAGGATGTTAATGTTAGCAGGACCTTCTCTTCTGGGCCATGTCTACGCTAGGAAAGTATTTTGAAAAGACTAAATTCGACTTAACTCCCGATTTTGCAAAATCAAAATAGCGTATCCCCACTACACGGGAGCCTCCAAATGAGTCCAAGGAAGGCTCCATTCATGTGGACGTGCTACCTCGACTTAGCACTGGGGAGTAATTAGTTTGAATGACTCTGGGGAGTCGTTATTTCAAAATAGTGGCACTGGAGCATCCATACTACTGCTATTTTGAAATAACTACTTCGGAATTAGTGTTACTCCTGATTAAAAGCAGGAGTACTGATTTCAAATTAAGCGGCCTGGTATCTTGAAATACTGGGCTTAGTAGTAAGTATCAGAGGGGTAGCCATGTCAGTCTGAATCTGCAAGAACCACAAGAAGTTCTGTAGCACCTTCTAGACTAACAGATTTATTGGAGCATAAGCTTTCGTGGGGAAAGACCCACTTTGTCAGATGTCGGGCTTGGTAGTGTGGACGCTCCACTTGTAGATTTGACCTAAGGGGGGTTATATCTAAATAAAGTCCTAGCATAGACCAGGGCCTGCTCAGCATATTTTTCCTTTGTGTTTCTGCATGGCATTCTGCTTTTGTCTGCACCCAGGCCACAGCACTATTTCAGGGGGGTTGAAGTAACACCCCCTGTTACTCTTTGTTTTAAGAACAGTGACCACTAAAAATATTCAACCCCTTCAAAGAGTATTATCTGCCACACCTCCCCCCAGGAGCAAGTAACGAGACACAGATGGGAACCGAGGCAGAGGGTCAAAGGATACAATTCCTTACGTGGTGCACTCTTCTCCTCTGTTTTATAAACACAGGTTCTTTCTGTGGTCTCAATGTAAATTTGACTCTGGACATCCCAGACCACGTCCGCCCCTTCTCTTCTACGCCAGTCTGCTCCGTCCCGGACCGCTGAGGTTCTTTTCACATAAACCAAGAGGTCGAGTCATTACCTGGCCATCCTTCATGTTGGGAAATACTAAATAGGACCTACAATACATCCTCAGGTGCTCCCACTCATCACTCTCACTGCTCATGACGACCAGTTAAAAGCATCCCCACCCAACGGAGTAGAGAAGAACAGTAAAGTGGTTTGAAACTCTGCAGCTCTGTCTACACTAAAAGTTTTTTGCAGCAGAGAGTATGCTAATGATGGGCTCATTCGCATGAGTCGTGATGTCATTAGCATATTTTCTGCCGATGCTTTTTGTGCAAGGGGTTTTTGCGCAAAAAGAAGCAGTGTAGCTGCTTCCATTTTGCGCAAAAAAACCCTTTTGCACAAGATCCTTATGACTCTCATATTATAACACAGAAAATATTGCAATATGCTACCATATAAATCCATGGTACACCTTGAATAATGTGTGCCGTTCTAATTGCCTCATCTCAAAAAAGAGATGATAGAACTGGAAAAAGTACAGAGAAGGGCAACAAAAATGATTATAGGTATTGAACTACTGTATTTTAGCAAATATACCTCACACCCGAATATACCCTGCACCCAAATATACCCTGCGGTTTTTGCTATTTGAGTAAAAAAAAAAACTGTGTTCCCCGCGCACGAGTATAGCCCGTGGGGTATACAAGACTTATATTTCAAACTGTGCTGGGGGGTATATTCACTAATTTATGGTGCCGGAGAGCGGACAGGGGGATGGGGACTTAGTCAGCCTCCGGGCAAGGGAGCACTCACCGCACGGTTCCTGCACAGCTGCACTCACCCCCAGGCGAGTAAAAAAAGTTTTGTATACCCCGCGCATGAGTATACCCTACGGGGGTGGTCCGGGGTTTGTAAAAATGCATATAACCCACAGGTTATATTCACTAAAATACGGTACTCGCATATGAGGAGAGATTTAAAAGACTGGGACTGTTTAGAAAGGAGATGACTGGGGGAGAGATAGTGTGATATGACAGAGGCCTATACAACCATGAATGGTGTGGAGAAAGTGAATAAGGAAGTGTAATTTACATAACCCGTGAACCAAGGGTCACCCGATGAAATCAGTAGGCAGCAATTTTAAAATAAACAAAATACATATTTTGTTACACAGTGCACAATCAACCTGTGGAACTCCTTGCCAGGGGAGGTTGTGAAGGCCAAAAGGAAAACTGGGTTGAAAAAACAAAGAATGAGATAAGTTTATGGAGGACTTAACCTCCAATAACCTATCAATGGCTATTTGCAGAAGATGGTCAGGGATACAATCTCTGACTACCAGAGTTGGGACTGGATGACAGCAGGTGGATTACTCAGTAATTGTCCTATTCATTGCCCACAAAACATCTGGGCACTGGGCAGAAGTCAGGATACTGGGTAGATGGATCATTGGTCTGACGCACTTATAGCCATTTTTATCTTTTTGTGTTAAATCTACTCACATCATTTAAGGCGATCAGCTACACCGTTAGGGGGAATGAGACCACAGGGCAGCTTTTGCATGGCCAATGGCACATTCCCTTCAAAACTCTGAGTGATGGGACATTTGCATTTACCTTGTAATGGGAACAGAGCGCTCCTGAATTCCTGCAGCTCCTGTGGTTGTTTCTTTTTGGGAAGCGGTTGGGCTTGACTGTGTGTCACTCAGTTTCTCCTCCAGAGTTTTCCCAGTGCTGCCTCGCTCTTCATCTGACAGTGAAAACAGGACCTGTTAGACTAGGTCCATAAGACCACATGGCTGAAACCAAGGGTGCGGCTTTGAGAGCAATTTCTGAACAACCCAACAGTTCAGTCAGTGTAAGCAAGAGGAGATTTTGGCCTCTTCCAGAGGACTGTGTGAAACGGAGTGTTCTGAGTTACATAAAAATGATTGATGTTAGATTATGGAAACATCAGGATTTTTGTTGTGAGGAAACACTCAGGTAAGGTACAACATTTTTAAAGTGGAAATAATAATAATAATAAAAAAAACAACCCCGGGATGTGGGAAGCAAACAAGGTGATGGATTGCATACAGTCAAGGACATAGCTGGCTGAGTTTGTCTTCCAGCTTGCAAACTTACTGACCATGACACATTTTGGCTCTGAAGATAAATTCTAATGCTTCCATATTCAGGGTACAATTATGGGGCTGATTATCAGCTCACACTGGTGTAAATCAGAAGTAGTGCCAATGAAGTCAATAGAGCTATACCGATGTAGAACTCATGCAAGGGAAATCAAAATCAGGTCCTATTTTGTACTGGTACCACAAAGAGGGTGTAGTTCCAACGTCACACCTTTTAAACTTAAGCTTTCATGGGCAAAGACCCACTTCGTCAGATGCATGTGGGTCTTTGCCCATGAAAGCTTATGCTCCAATACATCTGTTAGTTTATAAGGTGCTACAGGACTCCTTGCCGCTTTTGTAGATCTAGACTAACATGGCTACCCCTCTGATACTTGACACCTTTTATACTGTTATAACTCCAGTCACTTCAATGGAAGATCTCCCCGTTTACATTGCTGTGAGTGGGAGCAGAATCAGGATCAGAATCTCTTCCCTGGAATATTAGGAAATGAAAGATGGGTGGGTTTTTTAAATTAAGGTTTTCCACCAAAACGGGCTTGCTATTCCACTCCAGCAAGAACTAATCACCTTGTGATACATACCATCAGAGTTTCCTCTTTGCGTGAAGAATACCACCTCCCATGCAATGTAAGAGTGTGTCTACACAGCACTCGAAACTCGAAACAAGATACGCAATTTGCTTTATGTAAATTGCGTATCTTATTTTGAATCTATTTTTAAAAAGCTTATTTTGAAATTTGGCGTGTCTACACAGCACCAAATTTCAAGATAATGTGCTATTTCAAGACATCTCTTAACCCTCGTGGAATGAGGGTAACTGGGATGCGCGTGCCCGTTATTTCAAAAAAATATTTTGAAATAACAGGTGGCTTGTGTTGACCTCCAGTATCCTGAAATAGCTATGCAGTGTAGATGTACCCTAAGGCTGTGTCTACACTGCACCCCTTTTCTGGAAAAGGGAGGCAGATGAGACAAGTTGGAATTGCAAATGCAGTGGGGATTTACATTTTCCCCGCTCCATTTGCATGAACATGGCTGCTGCTTTTTTCTGGCTCGGGGCTTTGCCGGAAAAAAGCGCCAGTCTAGACAGGGATCTTTCAGAAAATAAAGCCTTTTCCGAAAGGTCCCTTATTCCTGATTTTAAGAGGAATAAGGGACCTTTCGGAAAAGGCTTTATTTTCCGAAAGATCCCTGTCTAGACTGGCGCTTTTTTCCGAGCCGGAAAAAAGCGGCAGCCATGTTCATGCAAATGGAGCGGGGAAAATGTAAATCCCCGCTGCATTTGCAATTCCGACTTGTCTCATCTGCATCCCTTTTCCGGAAAAGAGGTGCAGTGTAGACACAGCTAATGTGTGCAAAGTGCAAGGAAAAAAAAAAGCACTGTTCCCAGCCAAAAGGTCATTCTTTGGTAGGCTGGTTGGGAGGTCTAGTGGTGATAGCTTGTATCGGAAAGAGATGTGATTCTTCCTAGTAAGCTAACTGAACCCGCTCCACTAGTGAGCACTCTTATATAACAGGACCCAAAATAAAACCATGGTTCACCGATGAGTAGGTACTTCCTCAATGTGCTATTGAAATATTTGCCTTCTTGTTCTTATTCAAAAGCAGGTGATCAAAAGGACACATGTTAAGATAACAAGCATCTCTTTTTATAAAAGCACTTGTTAATAACATCTTCCCTCACTGAAAATGAAAATTTTTTCTAAAAATACCGAATTGTTTTTGTCGCTGCTTCCCTTTTTTGTCCAGCTCTGAGCTACTGTCAAGGAAATAAACTACTATGCTGCACTTTTGGCCTAAAGTAATTTTCTAGTTCTCCTACATTAGTAGAATGCTACTCTTTTGCGTCCCCATGCTGCTGAGGAAAGACTTTCCATAAAAAAGAATCCACACATGTGCATGTCATTTGTTTTGTTCGATTCCATGACATGTTTGCATGCTTATGGTGCAGTGTAACAAATATTTTTTAAACCAAAATCTAGATTTAAGTGCTAAAAGGTACCTGACAGTGTCCCTTTAAGATCACACAAAAGTAAGAACAATTACTATGACTTGACACAAAATGACAACGGATTAGACAGAATGGTTCTCTTGTTATTCTGGCTCCTAGCGAAAGTGAAGGCTGTAGTTTTCACCAAGATTTAGGAAGTGAAATGTATTCACCAATTTTTAACAATAAAATACAGGAATGCAAACATGAAAGCTTTGGTTTTCTGTGCAAGACAAAAATTGGTTCTAATTGTACAGGGCATTCGGTTTACTCACGAAGAAAATGCCCAAGATTCTATTAAGGCTTCCATGTAAATCTAATGTAAATAAACCCTTAATACCCTTTTAGCCTAAAAAAATCTGTGACACTTAGCCAAGAAAGGTCAAGCAAATAGGCCTGAATCACCATGTTCTTTACAACACACAGTACACATACACAACAACATATTCAGGGCCTAAAATTCAAGCTGACCCCCCCGTGCTGGATGGATCGTTGGTCTGACCCAGTATGGCCATTCTTATGTTCACGCTAAAACTACACATATGGAACTATCCTCCAGCCATAAACTCTGGGGGCATTTAATGTCCAAACTCAGCTTTAAAGACAAAAAATGGCTCTAATTGTACAGGGCATTAGGTTTACTCACGAAGAAAATGCCCAAGATTCTATTAAGGCTTCCATGTAAATCTAATGTAAATAAACCCTTAATACCCTTTTAGCCTAAAAAAATCTGTGACACTTAGCCAAGAAAGGTCAAGCAAATAGGCCAATCACCATGTTCTTTACAACACACAGTACACATACACAACAACATATTCAGGGCCTAAAATTCAAGCTGACCCCCCCGTGCTGGATGGATCGTTGGTCTGACCCAGTATGGCCGTTCTTATGGTCACGCTAAAACTACACATATGGAACTATCCTCCAGCCATAAACTCTGGGGGCATTTAATGTCCAAACTCAGCTTTAAATCCTAATTTGCAAATGCTCCCCGTTTTCATCATGAGCCCTGGTCTGGCTAGCCCCACAATTTGTCATATTTAATTGTGCATCTTGGATTCATCTGTTTAGGAAACACAGACATATAGAAGAGCAACATTTGTGTCTAACATCCACAGGGCATTTTCCAAGCTCATTCCAGACCTACCATGACTTCCAGCACTTTGGGTTTGCGTGCTGGCTTCATGAACGAGCAGCAGATGCTTATTTTCTGTATCGGAGAAGTCTGCAGGTATGGACTCGAGAATGCCAACTCCACCCTCCTTTGCCCTCATGCCTGGAGGAAGAGTTACATGGAGTGATGTGGAATCCACAAGTTTCTTCAGGACCATCTTTATCTCCTTATCTGCACGTTCAAGTGAGGCCCGGACAGAATTCTCCAGCTCGGACGGCGACGCAACCTCTCCTACAGACAAGAAGAATAGCTTTTCTCTCTTCAGGGTCAAAAGAAAAGGTCAGTAACAATCAAGCTACAGAGGGATTGGGGGCATGTGTAACTCACAGGCCTGCTGGATGTGGGTCACTGTCCCATGGAGTGGTACTTACATCGCTGACAGAGAGAATGAGTTTGTCTATAGCAGGGGTGGGCAATAATTTTTGGTTGTGATTGTGGGCCAGCTCTGCCCCCGGAAAAAAGCAGGGCTTCAGATGGAAGGGACAGGGCCTTAGACAGAAGGGGCTGTTCCCTCTAGGCACCTCCTGCCCTGGGAGAGGAAACTATGCACAGACCCCTGCTCTCCAATGTCTGGATTGGCCTGTGGGTAGGGAAGTGGCAGGGCAGGCCAAGGGCCGGATCAAGGGGCTTGTCAGGCCAGATCCAGCCCGTGGGCCATATCTTGCCCACCCCTGGTATACAGCCTTAGCTGAGAGCCAGCTGGCTTTTTGCTCAAGCTGTAGAAGTTTGTGTATAGTGGGCAGATTTGAACCTGGGTCCTCTAGAGCCAGGTGGCTCTCAGCACCTGGCATGGAACAGTGACCCACACTAGGCACGTGGGTTACATGTGCACTAAGCTCCCGATGTCCATGTTTGGGTCCACCTGTCAGCGTTCCACAAACATTTGCATTCAAGTTCCCCTCTCCCCTTGTACTCTGCTGTAGGGAGCTAACGTGCAAATGTTTATTTCCAGAAAGAGGGATTTTAGCTAGAATTCACAGTGAACGTCCAGTAGATTCTGCACATCCTGCTGCAGAGGGCTTAACACGCTACATGCACTCACAGCTTCTCCCCCGATGTGACGGAATGTAGGTGACACATCAGGGCGGAGGTGCCCAAACTAGCGACTCAACTTAAGTTGGATGCACGAGGGGGAAAACACGCAATGTGAAGCTCCTCAGAACAACAGACAGAACCCAGCCTTGACCTTCAGTGCTAACACGGGGTCTCCTTCCCGTGGGCTCCGGCTGCTGGGGGGAAAGCAGGGGCAGCACGTTGCCCCAGTCTCCTTCCCTGGTTGTTTCAGCCAGCTAGGGGAACCCTTTCCTCCCCTAGGAGAAAGTCTGGGGTCAGGGCTGAGTTGTGGGGGCAGTGCAGCCACCAGCCCCTCCCACAGCTCGCAACCCCGCCCAGAAATTCCTGCATACAGGCCTGTAAGGATTTGTGTCAATGTTGTTACCCATCAGACTCAGAGGGACATGGCTGAGGAGCATGTGGGGCTGCCTCGAATGCAATATTTTGATTATTTCTCAGCTTGTGAGATCATATTTTATAGTACCATATGCACGTTTCAGGGAAAAGTCAGAGAAGCCGTGGGCTTTGCACGAGGGACACCTGAGAGTTATTTCGAATTGTTTGTTATTAGCTAGGTTTCTGGAGCCACAGGCCTGTGCGGTGCACAGCAGCGACTGGGCAGCACCCCGTGGGAGAGGGTAGGACGAAAGAGAAACTCTGCTGTGGAGCAGTCTTTCAGAAGAAACGTAGAATCCAAACCCTTCCATTGCTGGTGGTCGGGCTACTGCGAGGCGGAGAACCTTTTTTGGGGTGGGAGGCTGCTGACCCACAAAAAATCAGCCATTCGCAAGTGAGAAGGAAAACAAAAACAAACCCTCATTGACGTGGCCCCCTGAGCGAGTAGGAGAAACTTGAAAAACAACGAATGGTCTTGCAGCACCTTAGAGACGAACAAAACACGTAGGGGTCATGAGCTTTCGTGGGCACAGCTGCTTCTTCACGTGAATGGAGTATTAACAGTCCAGTTCCAAAATAAATACGGGATGGGTGGGGGGAGAAGGAAGGTAAAAAATGGCAGTGAATTAGAGTGTTCATGTTACATGAAGCTGATAGAGAAGGTGCAAATTGCTCTTAAGTACCCATTGGTTGGTTAAGTCAGTAGGATGTGGAAGGCAGTGTGCTAGCCAGGTCATGTCTTTATTCGCACCTTTGCGATGGGTCCCATACCTATAAATGAAGTTAAGTTCCAAGGCTTCCCTGTGTATTTGGCTTGTGGAATTGGCCTGACACAACAGGGTGACTTTGAGAACCATTAATGAGTGCCCAGTCTGGTTACATTCCACATGAAGAGGAATTACAGGCTATCAGGAACACCCTCCCTGATGACACCACTACACACCCGGTTACAGAGCTCTGCGACTTTGTCCTCACCCACAACTACTTCCGATTCAGAGACGATTTGTATCTTCAAGTCAGTGGCACAGCCATGGGCACACGCATGGCCCCGCAATATGTCAATGTCTTTATGGCTGACCTTGAACAACGTTTCCTCAGCTCTCACCTCCTAGCACCCTCACTCTACTTACACTCCTTTGACAACATCTTCATCATATGGACCCACGGGAAAGAGACCCTTGAAGAATTTCACAGGGATTTCAACAACTTCCACCCCACCATCAACCTCAGCCCGGATCAGTCCACACGAGAGATCCACTTCCTTGAGACTACAGTACAATGACGGACACATTTCCACCACCTTGTACTGGAAACCTGCTGACCACTACACTAACCTTCATGCCTCTAGCCTCCATCCAAGACACATTTCCCAATCTAATGTTTACAGCCAAGCCCTAAGATACAACCGGATTTACTCCAGTCCCACAGACAGAGACAAACACCCTCAGAATCTATATAGAGCTTTCTTAAAACTGAAATACCCACCTAGAGAAGTGAAAAAACAGATCGAGAGAGCCAGAAGAGAACCCAGACATGAACTACTTCAAGACAGGCCAAGAAGAGAAAGCAACAGAATTCCACTTGTCATCACCAACAGCCCACAACTTAAACTCCTCCAACGCATTATCAACAATCTACAACCTAGCCTGGAAAATGACCCTTCACTCTCACAGGCAGGTGGCAGGGCAGGCCAAGGGCCGGATCAAGGGGCTTGTCAGGCCAGATCCAGCCCGTGGGCCATATCTTGCCCACCCCTGGTATACAGCCTTAGCTGAGAGCCAGCTGGCTTTTTGCTCAAGCTGTAGAAGTTTGTGTATAGTGGGCAGATTTGAACCTGGGTCCTCTAGAGCCAGGTGGCTCTCAGCACCTGGCATGGAACAGTGACCCACACTAGGCACGTGGGTTACATGTGCACTAAGCTCCCGATGTCCATGTTTGGGTCCACCTGTCAGCGTTCCACAAACATTTGCATTCAAGTTCCCCTCTCCCCTTGTACTCTGCTGTAGGGAGCTAACGTGCAAATGTTTATTGCCAGAAAGAGGGATTTTAGCTAGAATTCACAGTGAACGTCCAGTAGATTCTGCACATCCTGCTGCAGAGGGCTTAACACGCTACATGCACTCACAGCTTCTCCCCCGATGTGACGGAATGTAGGTGACACATCAGGGCGGAGGTGCCCAAACTAGCGACTCAACTTAAGTTGGATGCACGAGGGGGAAAACACGCAATGTGAAGCTCCTCAGAACAACAGACAGAACCCAGCCTTGACCTTCAGTGCTAACACGGGGTCTCCTTCCCGTGGGCTCCGGCTGCTGGGGGGAAAGCAGGGGCAGCACGTTGCCCCAGTCTCCTTCCCTGGTTGTTTCAGCCAGCTAGGGGAACCCTTTCCTCCCCTAGGAGAAAGTCTGGGGTCAGGGCTGAGTTGTGGGGGCAGTGCAGCCACCAGCCCCTCCCACAGCTCGCAACCCCGCCCAGAAATTCCTGCATACAGGCCTGTAAGGATTTGTGTCATTGTTGTTACCCATCAGACTAAGAGGGACATGGCTGAGGAGCATGTGGGGCTGCCTCGAATGCAATATTTTGATTATTTCTCAGCTTGTGAGATCATATTTTATAGTACCATATGCACGTTTCAGGGAAAAGTCAGAGAAGCCGTGGGCTTTGCACGAGGGACACCTGAGAGTTATTTCGAATTGTTTGTTATTAGCTAGGTTTCTGGAGCCACAGGCCTGTGCGGTGCACAGCAGCGACTGGGCAGCACCCCGTGGGAGAACGTAGGACGAAAGAGAAGCTCTGCTGTGGAGCAGTCTTTCAGAAGAAACGTAGAACCCAAACCCTTCCATTGCTGGCGGTCGGGCTACTGCGAGGCGGAGAACCTTTTTTGGGGTGGGAGGCTGCTGACCCACAAAAAATCAGCCATTCGCAAGTGAGAAGGAAAACAAAAACAAACCCTCATTGACGTGGCCCCCTGAGCGAGTAGGAGAAACTTGAAAAACAACGAATGGTCTTGCAGCACCTTAGAGACGAACAAAACACGTAGGGGTCATGAGCTTTCGTGGGCACAGCTGCTTCTTCACGTGAATGGAGTATTAACAGTCCAGTTCCAAAATAAATACGGGATGGGTGGGGGGAGAAGGAAGGTAAAAAATGGCAGTGAATTAGAGTGTTCATGTTACATGAAGCTGATAGAGAAGGTGCAAATTGCTCTTAAGTACCCATTGGTTGGTTAAGTCAGTAGGATGTGGAAGGCAGTGTGCTAGCCAGGTCATGTCTTTATTCACACCTTTGCGATGGGTCCCATACCTGTAAATGAAGTTAAGTTCCAAGGCTTCCCTGTGGATTTGGCTTGTGGAATTGGCCTGACACAACAGGGTGACTTTGAGAACCATTAATGAGTGCCCAGTCCGGTTACATTCCACATGAAGAGGAATTACAGGCTATCAGGAACACCCTCCCTGATGACACCACTACACACCCGGTTACAGAGCTCTGCGACTTTGTCCTCCACAGGGATTTCAACAACTTCCACCCCACCATCAACCTTAGCCTGGATCAGTTCACACAAGAAATCCATTTCCTTGATGCTACAGTATAATTAAATGATGGGCAAATTTACACTACCCAATACTGGAAACCTACTGACTGCTACACTTACCTTCATGCCTCTAACTTCCATTCCAGACACATTTGTTAATCTATTGTATATAGCCAGGTCCTAAAATACAACTGGATTTTCTCCATTCCCACAGACAGAGACAAACACCTACAGAATCTATATAGAGCTTTCTTAAAACTGAGGACGGACACATT